AAAAAAAAAAAAAAAAAAAAAGAAAAAGGGGTGAGGCTGAGGATCAGGCCCAGGGGGTCTGGCTCCAGAGCCCTCACTCCTCAGTGTGCCACGATGACGCTACCTCTCCCTACCAGAGTGGGCCCCCAGCTGCTGCCCCTGAACCCAGGTGCCACAAATGGATCCAGATGATTCCCATTGCTCTGCTCCCTGGCTGGGGGCTGAATGGCAGGAGTGGTCCTGGGCTAAGAGACCAAAGAGGCCCCCCCAAAGGCAGGATGCCCCCAAGAGCAGGGTAGCAGCCAGAGGCCAGCCTACCCCAGTCTCTCCCAACACCAGCACCTATGAGGGTAAAACAGTACTGGTACCTCTAGGGCAGGTTCCCAGGGAGCTGGACCTCATCTACTTCCATGAGCAGCCTCCTGGCAGGCCTAATCCTGCAGGGAGAGGCTCTGAACACGTGCAGCCACCATGAGATGACAACCTGTCCACCGGAGCCTGGTTCGGCTTCTATGGGGCAACCTAGTAACAGGGGACACCCCACCTTGCAAACATCACCACCTTGGGTGAGTTCCCCCATGGGTAAAAAGCATCAAAAAGCAAACATGGGGTCAGACAGACCTGGGTTCCTCTGCCGGTAGCTGTGTGAACAATGTAGCAACCAGTGTGGGTACCCTGGTTCTAACTGAGCCTCAGTTTTCTTAACTAAAAAAGGGTTATTTTAAAGCCTTCTTCAAAAAGGTTTGGCATTAGAGGAAAAAACAGACTTCCTATATATGCTACAATACAGATGGATCTCTAAGACATTATGATAAATGAAAGAAGTCAGATTCAAAAGACCACATATTGTATGATTCCATTTACATGTCCAGAAAAGGCCAGTCGAGAGAGCAGAGGCTGGCAAATGTTTCCTGAAAAGAGTGAAGTGGTAAATAATCTAGGATTTCAGGGCTATCCAGTCTCTGTCACAGCTACTCAATTCAGTAGATGTTGCAAGAAAGCAGCCACGGACTATATATGCCAACAGATGGGCGTGGCTGTGTTCCAATAACACTATTTACAAAAACAGGCGGCTGCTGCTGCATTTGGCCATAAAAGTAGTTTGTAGATCTTTGCCACAGAAGCAGAGAGTACATAACAGTTGCCTGAGGCTGCAGGACCTAAGGTGAAAACGGATTAACCCCAAAGGAGCTCAGGGAATCTTTTGGGGATAATGGAAATGCTCTCAAACTGGATGGTGATGTGCCAACTCTGTAATTTTAAAACAAATCATTCAATTCTTCACTTAAAACCTGTAATTTGGCCAGGCAGGGTGGCTCATGCCTATAATCCCAGCACTTTGGGAGGCCGAGGTGAGAGAACTTCCTGAGCCCACGGGTTCAAGACCAGCCTGGGCAACTTGGTAAGACCTCATCTCTACAATAAATAAATAAATAATTAGCCGGGCATGGTGGCACGTGCCTGTAGTCCCAGCTACTAGGAAGGCTGAGACAGAAGGATCGCCAGAGCCCAGCAGATCAAGGCTGTGATGGCTGTGTGCATGCTACTGCACTCCAGCCTGGGCGTCAGAGTGAGACTCCAATTCAAAGAAAAAAAACCAAAAAACTTGTATTTTTTTTTTTTTTCTTGAGTTGGAGTCTCATGCTGACGCCTAGGCTGGAGTGTAGTAGAATGCCTTCTAATATAAATGGCTTGCTCGGTCGGGTTATGGAGATCCACACACATGAGTATTTAAAGATGTTGGGGTAATGGCTTGTGGAGTAACTGTAGCTGTGTGATGTAAAAAGTTTATAATTACACATTGTGTCTGACTATTACCATTTTTAATCCGTTAGCCCCATATCTGAATAAACTGAAAATATTAACCACTTAGAGAGCTATCCATGAAATTTGAGCTATGAATGATTAGATTTATATGTATGTGTACACATACATAGGTACACTTCTAGCAACACATATGCATGTGCAAACAGAGCACATCAAACAAGAACAGAGAGAGACTGAGATCTGTGAGATATACCCTCAGGAGCATTCATGACAATACAGATTATCTCTGAACACTGCGTCTCAATCTTCTCACTGCATT